CCTTGCTATGTTCTCTTTGTGCCCATTTCATTTTCAATTGTCACCATTTTTATATGGGTGACATATCTTTGTGCCACAATGGTGTGTTGTAGCAATAAACGCATTTGCAAGTTGATTTATGCCGCAAATCACATTTTCGCTTTTGTCTTGCCCGAAAGTGTGCTCCTTGCTCCTTTTTGGTCGAACCAGCTTCCGATGCAATACGGTTTAATGCGCAATTTATATGTTTTCAACAATCGTGGCAGGAATTATGCACCCGTTATTTATTCTTTTTTATCTAAAAAGTTAACATTTCTCAGGGTTGCAGGCAGAGTGATTTGGGATTCTGGCCGCAATACAAAAGTCTAGATGTGGATATGAAGCTGTCGAAATGATAATTCCCCCTCGGCAAAGGGGGTCTATTTGCCACTTTGATGTACACTCATCAGCTGATATTTTTATTGGCTCCCTTTGAGTGTGTGACTTTCAGAGATTGCTGTTATCTTTCTGCCAATATATGTTACCATTAACAGGTCTGTCTTTGGTTTGAGATGCTGTTTTTTACTGGTAAACTTCTTGTCTGCCGACATTGACAAACATTGATTCTAATTATTGTTTATAGAGAGCCACAGCATTGGCAATCTTAAGATGTTTGTTTCTTATCTGTAGCCTTTTACTGATTGCCAGAAACTTCTCTTCCTATTGTTATTTGTTGTTTTTATTAGCCGATCTATGTCCTGAATCTGTATATTGAAATTTATCTTAATTTCATTGATAAAGATTCTTGTATTGTGCATTGACTGTCTGATTAAGTTTTTGCTATTTTTGTGTATACAACTTCATAGGGCACACTTCTCTTGTATATGATTACTTCAGCTGCAACTTAATGTTTGTGTCTTATCTCTTGTTGTTGTAATTATAATCTATTAGAATGGGGAGCAACAATGGTGCTGCGATTTCATGGCTCACGCTTAGAAAATATTGTAGGGGGGGGGGGGGGTTCTTTAACCTATTTCGTCTTTTTTGATGTTTTTAATAATAAAATTGGAAAATTATTGATTATACCCACAATGGTGATCCGAGTCACCTTTGTTTGATGAAAGCTCCTTATGTGCGAACAAATGACTCTAAAAATGTATCTTTGCGCTACAGTGTTGCCATGACCGTTGGACAATATTGCAAAGTATATACTTATGATTTGTTTAGCGCAGTGTCTGAGCAATATACATTAGTCGCCTTAACTTTTGTACCCCTCATCATCCACCAGGGGTGTTTACCTTCTGGATTGATTTGTTAATGACTTTTGTCTAAATATGCTGTTTTTATTGGTACAGTAATATAAACCTGATGATATATTGGCCTGTAGCCAAATGACTATTCAGTGACCCTTACTGATCATTTTTTTGAATTTTAGTAATAACAACCAATGTGTATACGATTTTTGCACTAACCGATTTTTTTATGTTTTTATCTCATAACACAATCTTTGATGTTGTTTATTTCATGTTTTTACAAACAACTGCTTTTTTACTATTGACAATGCAAGAACATGCGCTATTGTATCAAAAATATGCACATGAGAATGCCTCCCAGGTTCACATTGCTCTACTGACTGGTATGGAAGACATCATGTGCATCAAATGGGCTAACACTTTTTGAGGTCTCGAACGTATCCCTACTCAGAGCCCATGAAAAACTAAGCCCATGTTAATGGGCATTCCTTTGGTTTAATGTTACATTCTTGCCTCTGCTGCTGTAATAAATACCCAGAATGTTGATTTACTATGTCATTACCAGGGGCGGACTGGACCCATTTGAAACTTCAGGCATTACTGAAGCCGAGGGCCCATCTGGTTTAGTTTTAGTTTGATGTTGTGCTCCATGAGATGCTATATGCCTGGTGACTTTTTTCAATTCCTTGCTTTTTGGTAATGTTGTGGGCAAGGACACAGGGGCCCATTTGATACCCTAATTGCTCGGGGGCCCATATGACGTTAGTCAGTCGCCCCTTGCTGTCAACCCCTAGGTTCCAGTTATCGAATTCTTCTAATTCAATAGCTATTGAGCATAAAAAAAAGTGGTGTTCCATGCATTTTTGTACTGGAACAAGAGTACTTGGCAAGGCTGACAACACTGTTTTGGAATATGGTGAGCAGAAGCGTTTTTTGTTTTCAGCTAAAAAGACAGTTTGAAAAGCACCCGATTTTTGGCAGATCAACTTTTGTGTTTCTGTATTTGCATCATTTGTAGGGGATAAAAACTGCAATGTATTTGCTGTTTATGCTGAAAATGTTTTATTTTTACATTTTTCCAAACATACTAAACTGAGCAATTGATCATTGGGGACTCTTTAACCTTTTGCCAATGAAGGACTGTACAACTCGAAAATAAAACTTTCAGGACATCTCTCAATGGCCAGAGAACATATTAAAAAGTGCGTATGTGCTACTTACAAGCATATAATAAACTCAATCTCATATATCTATTATATTGCCAGCTGGCCATTTCTTAGATGTGATGCTGCAATTAGATTTACTTTTTTAAGAGCGTTCTTTCCTTCTATTATTCATCTTGTGAATCCGGCCAGTAAGTCTGTTGTTTTTCAAAACGAACATGAGATTACTATCCAGATCACAGGTAAAAACAGGCAGGAAAAAAGCCTTAAAAAACTAAATGCAGCCATCACATTTAATGAATGGTAAGCTGCAAATAAATTACATTTTTGGTTTTATGTTAAAACCACCTTTAAATTACAAATTCCCCTTCAGTAGAACTGGGGTAGGAGTAAAGGGGAGGGTTAAAAGTTTTAGTATTAGTCAGAGGAAAGGCAAAGCAATAAACTCTTGAACAACCTTGGATATTTATGAACACCCCACTGTGCACTCTTACATGGTAAGTGTAGCGGGACCATCCCCCCCTGAGGCTAAGGGCCTGCTGATTTGTCTTAGGTGTACCTAACCCCAAGTTGGAGATTCTGCAGCCAAGCGACAGACAACCAGTCAACTCTTACTTGCTCAGAGAAAGCCTAGGTTGGTCTTTTTGATGCTTTTTGTTAAACGTGAACTTGGATAGGGTGCATTCGGATTCTGTGGACAGCATCCAATCAGAACACTGGGAAATGACGATGATGAGGACATCCCGGTATGACTGACTATCGCCATACAAGAGCCTATCATTATCAATTCCCCGAGATCTAGGTAGCCACCAAGGGGCATGATATATTTATTCTCATTGGATCCCATAAGATCTGTCCATTTTTAAAGCAATCTCTGACCACTGATACCACAAAGGGATAGAAGCAGCGAACAGTCAGCATAGGGACCCTACAGATCAGGTCATAACAAAATTACACATAGATTTGTTTGTGACTGCTATCTTCTAAAAACCACCACAACTTTTCTCAGACCAGAGTCCTCATATTGAAATCCCTGTATGGATAAATGGGGATCCATTGGTCTGATGGTGAGATCGGCAAAACAGGCTCCCCCAGCTCTACCTTGATCACATGTAGAACATTTATAGGGCTGCCTAATAAAGGGCAGGTTAGCCCTTCAGGCTAATCAAATCTCCAACAAAACAACAAAATAGGTCTGCTTTCAGACTAAGGACCACATTATGCACTCCCCAGCCAATTTCTAATAGGCAAAAATGGAATCCAAAAGATTGGCTGTTTGAGTCCACCACTTTTAAACCCACTACTTGTTCTAGTGTACCCTCCTTGGAGAAGCCAGGGGGATATGTCAGTCAAACCTGATTAAGAGTGAGCAGAAGAAAAAACAAATATGGTTCACTAAAGAGGTAAGTAGAAGCCAGAAAAGGATAAAAAATCATCATATAGAAGAGTCAGGGAAACAGGAGGTGCAGCTGATAGACAAGTGTATGAAAACAGTACAAAAGGAGGCCAAACACACATGATCAGAGCTGCCAAAGCACAGAAAACAGAAAATTTTGCTGAATTCTAATAAGAAACGTGACAAAACCTTTTAGGTACATCAGCGATTTAAGGAAAAAATACAATGGTCGGGGGCCATCTTTAATGCAGGGCAAAACAGGCCAGCTGCCCGGGTGGCCCAGTCTTTGTTGTGGGGCCCAAGCAGCTGCCCCTTAAGCCCATGCTACCAGCAAATTTGGGCCCCCGATGATTGCACTGCAGAGCACACAGGGTACACTGGAGTAATCGCTGTATTCCCCAGTGTCAGGGATGCGGGTGTTGACCAGAGTATGTGGACTGACACAGGGAAACGCAGGCTTCAGATATGGTATAAATAAGACAATTTATTAAGTGGGACTAACAATACAAACATAAACGCAGTGCACCAAACCCCACAGCTAACACAAATACATACAACAAGGTGAAACAAACCCAAACCTAAAAACTGATACAGATACACAGGTACATACACATATAGAGCACAACGTAGTCAGGCAGGCCGGGTCGATAACTATCGGGCAGGTAGGTACAGGAGGAGCAGGTGGAGAGTAGTCAGGTCAGGCCGGGTACCAGAAACTAATTGGACAGGTAGGTCAGGGGGTCACAGAGCCAGGGATCACAAGCAGGGATCAAACAGGAGAAGTCAGCAGAGGTCAGGATCAGGCAGGGTCGGTCAACAAGTCAGGCAGAAACAGGAACAGGAATGCAGGTTACAAGGTACAGGGGCCCATGGAAAAAACACACACCAAGGCAGAGACTGCAGGTCTGGCCATCCCTTAAATACACCTGCAATCAGTCCCCCAGGTGTATGGCGTAATTGCCGAAGTGAACCTCTGTTGTTGAATAGCACCCGCTGGCCAGCCCCTGTACTGCAGCCCACAAGGCAGGTGAGTCCCACCACTATTGGCAAGCCCATTCCTGACACCCAGGCAGCAGAGAGGGGGCGGGGCCAGGAGCTCCACTGACCCCGACCCCCCATGCAGCCTGTATGACTTGGGAGGGAGCTGCTGTAGTAGAATCTGTGATGTGAGTGGGAGCCCCGCCCCCCGGACCTCAGAGAGGATGTTGAGCCCGGCCTGGCCAGGTATGTCCCCCCCCCATAGTCACTGCCTGTGGACTGTTATACCAACCCCCGGGAGCTGATTTCTCACAAACTGTATATCTGTGCATTGCTGAAAGGTCTCTGGTCATCTCCTGTACTATGATCTTCAGTCTCTGGTCCATCCCTGTACTGTGTCTGCAGTCTCTGGTCATCTCCTGTATGTGTACATCCGCAGTCTCTGTCATCTCCTGTATTACATCCGCAGTCTCTGGTCATCCCTGTACTGTGTCCTGCAGTCTCTGGTCATCCCCTTATTGTGTCCGCAGTCTCTGGTCATCTCCTGTACTATGTCCGAAGTCTCCATCATCTCCTGTACTGTGTCCGCAGTCTCTGGTCATCTCCTGTATTACATCCGCAGTCTCTGGTCATCTCCTGTAATATGTCCTACAGTCTCTGGTCATCTCCTGTACTGTGTCTGCAGTCTCTGGTCATCTCTTGTACTGTGTCTGCAGTCTCTGGTCATCTCCTGTAACATGTCTGCAGTCTCTGGTCACCCTCCTGTACTGTGTCTGCAGTCCTCTGGTCACCGGGTCCTGTACGTGTGTCCTGCAGTCTCTGGACATCCCCCTGTAATATGTCTGCAGCAGCCTCTGGTCCATCTCCTGTAATTATGTTCCCGCAGTCTCAGTCTCTGGTCATCTCCTGTATACATCCACAGTCTCTGGTCATCTCCTGTATAC